TTTGGTATATTATCTATTGTTTCTCAGGGAATTTTCAACACTAAGTGATATTTTACTAATTAGTCAATACGTAATTATTAAAATAATAATTATTCTTAAAATATGCTCCTTTTTCCCTCATAATGACCTTCCCTGCAACGCACAGTCCGCTATATTTTTCAGACACGTGTGTGGTGTTGGTGAAATCCATAGGTATTTTTAGATACAATATAAATATCAAATTATAAGAATAGTATTAAGGATATAATTAGTTTTAGAAAACTCATCTACATTACCATTTATTTAATTATATTTTGTTTGTTCATTTATTTATAAATTAAAAAGTAATAAAAAACAAATCCCTTAGAAACATCAGTACGGATAGCTATGCAGTTTGATGATTAAATATTTGGCCACAAGCGAATCCTGTAATTATATCTAATAATTAAATTAGAATTCCCCAGGTTAACATGCCTATATCCTAGAGAAACAAGATTTGTTTAATCTACATGGAGTTCTTTCTGTTGCACTTTCCTGAGCCACGCCTTCTAAAAACCAGGCCTTTAGTAGTAACACTTCAGTAGTAACACTTTAGTAGTAACACTAGGGCCATTCCGGCCTACAGCTGTTCAGGTGGAAAGAAACCGGAAAAGGCCTAATAATCCTTCATGCGGCTGCAAAACACCAGGCTCCAGGTCTGGTTGCACAGCTGCCTCAAAATGGCCAACAGAGTCGCATAAGATGGGTGGACAGGAAATGATCTAAAACAGGGAGCTTTATTCTCCAAACTCTTTTTACAAGAGTAACTCCCCTTTCTGGCATACGCATTGACCACTCGTTAGACTGACAAATAAATAAATTAAAATGTAAATAAGTGTTGCACAACATATTTGCATATTTAACAATTCTTGTATTATGTATTGCTAATGAAAATGTGACACTCTGCTTATAAGTGTTATGAAAAAGAAATGCAGGATATTCCATAGAACATGTTAGCTGGGAGGTCAGCGTGTTCCTTCTATAAATCACGAACAGCAGAATGACCACTTATCTGGGTATTTCATAGTGCTAACATGCTGCTGTTTAAGCCCTTTAAGTAAAGCTTTTCATAAAAAAAAAAACATATTAACGAGGCTACAAGCACCAGTGCTGCACCACTTCTATATGATATATTATTGGTTAATAGCTTTGCTGTATCTGCTCAGATACCCTGAAACCTACAATAAAGAAGCTTACATGACTTGGAGATTATTGGTTAATAGATATGACTAAAGGGTCTAATCAAAAGAAAATCTGCCAGTTGAATCACTACTTAATCGTCATAAAAAGTAGTACCTGACATAATACAGGAATACATAATACAGAAATAAATAATATTCAGGACTGTTTCACTGATGAAATTTTTAAATGCAAAGTGAAAGGAAATATCTATTTATTGAAAGATAGGATGCTACTGTATCTTTCAATAAATCGTTGCATAGTAGCATTTTCAGCAACACTGCTATTGGCAAAAAAATAAAACAAAGAGGATGACTTAATGTTCTTTAAATGATTCAAGTTCACAACTTGAGTTAACAACACTTCAAATATCCAGTTTTATATCAGTGTTACATATGTTTAATTATTACCTGGACTTGAAGATAAAAAAGTTAACATTAAAATGTATGTGTAAACTCTAGTGGTAGTGTGGGAATTTTTGAATAACTGATATATTTTTCACCAATACTTATACCTGGTGAATGAGCCAACAGGATCTTTTAGCCTCCACTAAGGAAAATAGCTGATTGTCCAATATAATCATCTCCCTTGTTTTAGTAGTTGAGTCTTCAGCTGCTGCTGCTAACTTTGAATATTGATGTCATCGAGTTTATATATCTGCTGGCAATATCGGCCGAGATGGACACATGGACCGTAACTGATATGGTAACTGGTATATCATGCATCTCTCTAGTAAACTATCATATACTCATTTTATTATAACATATGAAGTGGAGACACACAGAAGTGTGAAAGCATGCTTCATAGTAGAACAACCCTCCAGTCTGGAAAATTAGGACAGGGGGATGCTTCAGCTTCAAGTGATTTTCTAAATGGGCATTTCTAGAAGGATAATTTGCTTCTGATTTCAATATCTGAGGATGTTCCAGAGAAGATTTGCTTACTCAGCAGCCGTCGCTGCCCCATCACTGGCATTTCTGAGCTGGACCCAGAACAATAGCAGCAACAAAGGCAGAAACGAGTCCATAAATGACATTAGTTAGGCAAAGGAAAAGACTAACAGCTTTTCCCCTCTGATTTCTATTCATTTTCAGATTTGTTCACTTTTCATACAGATTCATATTTTAATAAAATAAGGACCAAGCTGATTTTTGAATAAATGGAATCATTAGTCATTAGAATTAAAGCTTCAAAATTCGATATAGCTACTAAACAGCCTGTAATCAGTGGAAGCTAGTATGCTCCTCTGGTACCTGACCCAGATACACAATGAACTTATCCTCTGGGGGCTGTATACTGAATACTTCACATTCAACACTCAGAGAATCTGACAAAGGTTTAGCATAAGTTGAAAATAAAGGAGTATTTCTGTAATACCTTCTGACAGAATAATTTCAGGAAGTCAGCTTTATAATAAGTCAGTATAAAAATAAATTCTGTGGAAAAGGGTTCTGGACAATATATTTTCATTCTTACAAAGGATCAAGTTAAGTATAATTACAGATGGCAACTCAGCAATGTGGATTAATTATCATTATTGAAATTTAAAATTTAAACAGCTGCGTCACCAACCCAAGAATGCCTGCAAACTCAGACATTCATACAAAAATCATGCTGCAATAAACTTTCAAATACATAATTTAGACACGGCAAACAAACATAAAATAAATTATGCATTATAAGGTTAAGTCAATCACTTTGGCGAGACACTCTGGCATACAGGCTGGGGACCCATTGCAGACAGAGCTTTCCGGGCCACTTCTGTGACTGGAGCTGTGTCAAAGGCAAAAACGGTGCCTTGAGGGCCATTCTATCTTGGGATAAATTGCTTCACAAAACCCAGAATGAGGGAATTGCTGTACTGGAGACAGCTGGGCAATAGGACTGGGTCTTATAACAATAAAACTCAGGGGTTTGACTTCTATGTAAAGTGGTAAAAAAAATGATATTGTAATTCTAAAAGAAAACATCCAAATCCTCAGATTCATATTAGTATTAATTGCTCTGTACAAATCAAAACTGAGCCTAGGTGGTGTTGTTGCATGTATGTGGGTCATATGTGTTTGCTTTAACTTGGGACTGTCCACAGGGTCTGTCTCTCTCCACAATGGCTGTAGCTGATTAGAAGCAAAAGCTTTGCACTCACTGTTAATACACCGGGTGTAGACGTTAAGTCATTTCGCTCTATTGCTCTGCACACCCCCACTTTGCTTCCAACAGTGCACAGCTTCTCTGGAAATACGCTCATACAGGGATTGTATTAAACAAACATGCAAAACAGGAAAAAAAAAGGATTTCTGCTGATCATGTACCAAGGGGTGCACAGGGAAGGAAACTGAAATATTACTAGTGTTATAATGATTAATATAACAACCAACTTGTATACAATCCCTGGGTACTTCATCAGCGAATGCAGGGCATGAACGTGCTGTAATATACTTTTTAATGTGACTTTAGCGTAGCAGGTTGGGTAGAAATGAACTCATGGCACAGGGTCAGGCCCTGAGCAGGGTGGTAGGTGAACTGCTTCAGTAAATATCCAGTCTCAGGTGTAGTAATGCAAAGCTGCAAAATCTGAGAAAAATATGGTGATGCAAGGTGATGTAACCGCATCAACAAATCTAAACTAATTGAAGGTAATTGCTGCAAACGAGTTTCTTTTGTGAGGTGCTCCTTCACACTGCTGCGAGCACAGTCGCTGCTTTGGCTGTGGCGGCCAGCACAGGTTATGCATCCCGCGATTCAAACGCTGATACCAGCTGACAGCAGATCTCTTGCATTAGTGGGACACGTCGTTTTTAAACCTGTATCACTCTACTGATCAAGGGCTCTACAAATAAATCATTTGATGTTATTCATTACCTATGCAAATCATTCATACATTTATCCATTGTTCGTAATCACTAGTCCAATTAGTAATAGTGGTAATTTAGAGCATATACCCTTGGAGGCTCATCAAACGAGGTGTTGCAGATAGTTTGCATCTGTAACTATACTACAATGCTGCTGTATTCATTCCATCTAAAACATGGCGTGCAACTTTGTATCAAAGTTACAGTGAATTTGTACTGTATGCAATAGATCCTCTTTATTTGCTTTTACTCCAGTTTTTCCCAGTCCAGTCCTCGGGGACCCGCAGACAGTCCATGTGTTTGCAAAAATGTGGACTGTCTGGCAGGGAGCTCGGAGGGAGCAAAAATGTGAACCAGTTGCGGGTCCCTGAGAATTGAATTGGGAAACACTGCTTTATTCAACTAGTCTTAAATTTGTTGTCTACCTACTCAATTGATTCAATATACATCTTATACAACAGATAATGGTCTATATAAGCATGAATATACTGCAGGCCTACAAACTTTGTTACAACAGTATTTCTGTTATACGGCTTATTTCATGTGCTGAAACAAGATGCGCAACAGAAACATGTTTTGGAGTCATTTGCCCAATAAAGAGGAAAGTGTAACATCCTCACCCTCAGAGAAATGTTCAGGAGTTTAGCTCATAATTTGTTGCCATGTATTCTAAAACTAGAATTCTTCAGTTCTTCAGTGGACCGCAATGAACAAGGTGCTCTATGCTACGGGCAAAGAGGAAGCCCCCTCTCTTCGCATCACACACCCATTCACACGCAACACACTCCGAAACACACAGTGACAGACAATTCATCTGGATTGCACGGCTCTGTTCGTGCCATTTAGCACCTTGATTTCAGAGTTGATTGATGGCGTTATCTTGCCGGCTTATGAGAGGACGTACCAGCCGCTCTCCTCTCTGTTTCGCTCCATGCTGGCTTTCTTACATACCTCCTTTTCTACAAATTTTCTTGTTGGGTTTTCTGGCACATTCCTTCGATATTCTTTTGACTGTAAAATGAATAAAAGACTACAAAATAACAGGAGGCTCCGAATATAGTCGAGGACGCATGCAACAGCTGAACTGTCCCATTGCCCCCCTACCCCACCCAAACCCATACCCCAGGTCATCAACAACAAGAACAACAAAATACCTGCAAAGAAAGTGACAAGGGTTTTGGTTGCAGAAATATTCTGAAACATTGGTGAAGAAGGAGAATGCACTGCTCCCTGGGACACAAGAGGCCTGCTTCCACATGCACGTCTGTATATAAGACCCATTACAATTCTTTATAAACTGCATTAAAACTTATAATACCAAAATAAACACTCATTTCATACTACTGTATATGCAATCAATAATTAAAAATCTGATTTATCTATTCCTTTGATATTAAAGTTTTGAATGCTATGAAAGCATGAAAAAAGAATGCCTTCAGTTTTTTTTTTTACCTTTAACAACACTTTCTCTGAGGTTTGACTAATATAATTGTTTTTAAAAATGCTTACTTCTGTTTAAAAGAACTTTAGAATAAATGGGCATCTACTGTAACTGTAGTTTATATGCTGATGGTTATACTCTGGGTGACTTGCATGGCTAATTACTGATTGGCTTCAATCAGTCACATGACTGAAATGCTCACAGACTTTAAAGGGTCATACCTGTTCATGCATACGCGTTCCTTAAACTTTGAGTTCACTTCACTGAAATGTTCTCTGCTGTCGAGCGTTATTTACCGTTTGCGGGCTGTAAATCTATGTGTATTACTTCAGAGTGGGGGGGGGGGGGGGGGCAATGGAGCCTCCTGTTATTTGACAGCTCTTCTGGCACGGGCAGCGACAGGGATGTGCAGGGATAAAGCACAGCTCAGTGATTTGCGCCCAACACTGTGGGGCTCTGCTTCATACAGTAGCTTTGATTCCTGTGTACAGTGTGATATGAAATGGCAGTCTGCATAAAACCCCAATATCTTTTCATCTCAGATCTGGGATTAGTATGTCGCAGGGTTAGGACACTAAATTTAGGCACAGCCACTGAATATTTCATTCCTTTATTTGTTTATTTATTTATAGTATGGTGTTTATTCCTTGAGGCTTTTGAACGGTAATTAACAATTATGTATATATTATGTATGCATACATCAGCATGTGTAATTAGGCAGGAAGTTCTTCCCATTTGACATTTGAGAGACTTTTGTGGAATATTTTTCTATTTGCCTCTTTTTGGTGGTGTTTTGTGAACATAGAGCTCACTAGCACTGGAAATATTCACTAACACAAGTTCCCTTTGCATACTAGAGAATAAATGCTAGGTAACGCATGAGATATTTCCTAAAAAAGATCTCTACCTTTTTTATGGGTTAAGTAGACAAACAGGGATAGACAGTAAGGGGTCTTACATTTTGTAAACTGATGCCACAGGCCTTCTGTGTACCAGACAGAATATTTCACCAACCCTACATAATGTAGGAACCCTTTGGAACTAAGCAGGCTAATTATTTCCCCCCGGAATATTCAAGACAGCACAGAGAAGATGCGCCAAAGCAGCCGGGTCCAATCTATTTAATTTGTGATTTTGTTATTTTTTTTTGTTTCAAGGTTTTTAAAGATATTATGATATTTCACTTTTGATTAATAGTTCTTTGAAAAAACACAAAAGAGGAACTCATAATGGTGGCATGGAAAGGGAATAGTTGATGAAAAGACGTCATGAGAATATCAAGTCAAAATGAGAGACGTACATGGTGGCCACAGACATAGCATGCATCAGACAACATCCCATGCATCAAACACAATACCAAGGTGACGTAAAACGTCATATAAGAAAAGAGGGAACTGGATTATCTGGTGTACCCAACGACTCACCATCCTCAGTTGGAACATAGATGTTTAAATACAAACAATCCTCATTTTGGTCCTGTATGTAAGTGGCAACTATATCCAGGTTAAAGGTGAACCATATCGGCATCATGATCTCCGGCACGGCGTTGTGAATGTTTTGCGGGCAGACGGGTGCAAAGTGGGTGGCGTTCTTGATCCCTGACCAGGATGAGGGGGGTTCAGGGGGCATGAAGCGTTTTTCACCAACTGGAGAAGCAGCATATGGGACTCCCAGGTACTGGTCCACCGGCCCGAGGATCTCACTGGGGAGAGGGACCCTCACTCCTCTCAGCTTCCCAAACTGTGTGTTAACAGTGGGGTGGTAGTTCTGGCCCACGGCCGTCACCAGGGGCCAACAGAAGCTCAGTATCCACAGAGCAGCAACATGCCCCATGCTCGCCTTGGCTGTACGCCAACGTTGGAGGTGCGTGAGCATGCGGCTGATCCTCAGGGCAAACCACATGGTCTTTGCGAATGGATCCAGTTGTAAAACACCAACATGTAAACCAGGGCCACCCTCAGCTACTGCTTCCTGTTCTCAGTCATGGAATCCGGTCCCCTTTGATCCTATCATCAGCGCCGGATATGTAGCCCCAAAATCAAATTAAATAAAATAAAAAAAAAATCTATTGCTTCTGCTTGAGTGTGATCTTCATCCGCTGTCCAGTCTTCAATCCAGATTGATTATCCACTGCTGCAAAGAAGAACAGGGAAATAATTACAACTTCTGCAAAAGAAGCAACGTATGTAAACACACACACGTTTTTTTCCCCCTTTCCTTTCACACATATTTTTATTGAGTTTGAAGCTTCATTTTCTACACAGCCCTAAATCAGAATACATAATCAAGGCAGTTTTGTGTTATTAGCTATAAATGGCCACCATTGAGATCAGGCAGTGCACTTCAAAGGAGTCATACACAATCTGCTCAAAGAGTGCTCTGTTTGAAGCATCTACTGTTTAAATCACAAATATATATCCTATAAAAGAAAAAATATTTTATTATAATTTCAAAATGCAGTCCACAACCTTTGTTAGTGCTGGATGACTGTTACATTTCCTTGTTTATAGATTATATAACTATAATTCACATTTAGAATTTTACGTCATTGCTTTTTATTATGTATAATTGCCCCAAAAAACAAAGAAAACTTAAAATGTAAGTACAGTATTTTTAAAAAGTATTATGAGTTTTGTAAACAACATTCATATGTTTGTTTCCTTGTGTTTCAATAAAGCATTGTCATCTCTTGTGTGTTCCCAAACAAAACAAAACAGCAGATGTTTGGTTTTAAAAATGCCAGATGTTTCTAAAATTTGTTCTTGTCCAGAATGATTTCCCCTCCAATAACAGCGGATGAAGGATGCTTTCTAGCATTCAAACAAAGAGTGGCATGTAACCACGGCTGATTGCTGGCCGATGCCAAAAGCAGCTCGCAATCCTGGTGTACTCCTGGCCACTGGGAATTACCCCATGGTGACCATCAGGAGTGTTACAATGACAAATGGGAAGAAAGGTTTAGCAGAGAATAACCCATTCCAAAATTTACAAAAGTAACAGAGATTACCAGGGTCCCACTTATATAACAAAGGAGGTGCAAATGTAAAGTTCAACGGGGAATTATACTCCATGTCTGGTGTCGCCGCAGTCCCTACTGTAAATACATCTCAACTTTGAACATAGTAGAAATAGTAGAAGCGCCATTATAAAATGGCACCTAATTTTCTGATAGAAATATTCATTCACATCAGCGTCAACATGCTAGGAATGTCCAGCAAGATACCGCAGTTGGGAAAAGGGACAGAGGATACAATGAGCCAGGCATACTGGTTCCCAGCTTCCAAATCTGTCCTCTATCTGTAGTCAAGCAGTCCAGCAAAGGGACATGTAACCATTTGTATGGTATTTTGTCTTAAAAAAATAGATGAACTCTATGAGATATGGCCATATTGCCCCCTTGTCCTACATATGCTTCACAGAGTCAGACTGGTATTACTCCACATTTTGATTGAAAAACTTCATGAAGGACATGACCCAACTTCAAGGTTCATTTATTTTGTATCTGCTTTACAGTAAGAGAAACAAAATGTTAATTGCTGGAACTTCTGCGTAGGTCACCTTGGTAGTCTGGGTGTCCTTGCTCATCCTTTGCAAACCATTCAAACTTGTTGTGCTCTGTGCAATTAAATGATGCCTGAGTTGACATATTACTCTGAAACAGACAAGCTATTTTAAGATGGGTGCACCAGATAGCCTCTCCGCTACAAAGAGCAGTCCTTTGACCAACTTCTCATAAGTTAAAGCTTCTATTGCCTGACTCACCATACCTAGACTACAAGCGTTAAGACCTGCAAATTTTGAGCTGGATTTTTCTTCATTCTAATCAATATAAATCATAGAAATCTCAATATACAATCTACCCATCCATGCTCATGGGGGACAAATCGGGGAACACCCTGACCGGGTGACAGTGACAATAGAGCTGATATTTGAAAAATGGATTCATTTATGCAAAATCATTAAGTGTTGTCAGGACATTTTAAATGAGTCAAAAGTCTTCACAAACCTACTGAGAATCATTCGTTTTTCCAATAAGATAATGACTCTAAGCACACCTCAAGGTTATGTAGTTAGTATAATCTTGTGAACAAGGAAAGAGATGGAGTGCTGTGACAGATGACCTGGCCCCCACAATCCCCCCATCTAAACCCTATAGAGCTGCTTTGGGATGAGTTGGTTGAAGAATAAGAGCAAGGTGGCCGACTTGTGCCCAGAACACAAGTGGCTAAATCTGGAAGATGGTTGAAAGAATGCCAAGTGTCTGAAATGCTGTCATTAAAGCAAGAGGTGGCTATTGTGAAGAGGCTAAAATGTGATGAACATTTCTCATGGTCATTGCAATATTTCATATGTATTACTTCATTGCCTCAAGGCCTTGTACCATAAAATGAATAACATGGCTAAAATACAGACAGGGACTGAAAGCATGTGTGCCCAGACTCCTGACTGGCACCATGTGTCTCTGTACAAGGGGGGCAGACAACAACACTCCCAGACACAATCACAGCCTATTAGCAGGTCAGCAAAGTTGTGTTTGCTTATGTCTTTGACTCTGGTAAGAAATTTCCAATAACCATCATTACAGGGAGAACATGATCATGTCTGAGAAGAACATTCCTCGTCCCATTTCAACAAAAAAATGACTGATATACTACTGACAAGCATTTCCCTGTGACATTTAAATTTTACTCCAAAAATGTTTAAAAAAGCATAAACCTTGCTTAATAAAAATATTTAATATTGAGCATAGTAACTGGCAAGTTTACCCCTATAAACACCTCCCAGTCTACAAAATATACTACAATATGTAATCACAGCCTACTTATTAATATCATTCCATTTATGCGTGTTGTATACAGATTTTCAGACTAACAACCACACAAATTTTTTATTTAACAGTAATTATCTCAATGCAGTCAAAAATCTGCATTTGTGTCAAATGAAAACACAAAGATTTGACTTTTGAATAAGAAACAAATCTTTAAAAAAAGTTGTGGCATGTAACCTGTAGATATTAGTACAGCCCAAGCTAATCTGGCAAGTTTTTTGCCCAAAACAGAAAGTACTTCACTCCCTACCAGCTGCAGTACTGTGAAATCACAAACACTGTCTCAGTTAGGCCTTTGTAGGGATAGCCTCTCTTACCACTGACTTGAATTCCCAATAAGAAAAGACTTCTTAGTTAAGAGATGCCATATCTATTGGATACACATATTTATTTATTTAATTCTATTTATCTTTTTTTTAGTTATACATTTAAAACTGAAACTAAAACATAAAGATTACAGCATATTATTTTTACTGGATTAAATTAATTAAGTTGAGTGAAAACAAAATGAGTATGTAAAATTCATCCAGTATGTCATATGCCCTATTCACACCATACATAATCATTTTTTATTTTTTTTTTAGAATTTCAATTGAGTTCTCACTGAATTCTCCCTGGAACTTGAACCCTTCCAAATGAGCATTTTGTTTGCCAAGATCAAGGCAACGTTTATATTACATGACAACCAGACTTCTATAAAGCTTCTGCCTCTGACTTCATGGGGGTTTTTGTAGCTTCTTGCCAACAGACCTCACGCTGTGCATATATTTGCATAGATAACGTAATAGTGTTTATAGTTTATTTGCTTCAAGGTTTGGCAACTGGCATTGTTTGTTTCTTCACAATGTAAAGAACTGCACCTGAATGTATTTGACTGCTGTGTGAGGTGGACTGCTTGGCTTGTGTCATTTCCGGCTAGAATGGCGATATAACAACAACAGTACCAAAAAACATTCCAAGGAATAAACAATTGGATGCTAACATCCTCCTTCTTCACATTTATACAAATGAATGATTAGTAAGTACCACACCCTTTCCTTAGTAACAATCACAACCACCTATAAAACTGTTTTTGCCTTAGAACTGTCTAGAAATGCCATCAGCTGTATTGTTGTCTTCCTACGCAGGTCACCTTCACAGCTACCTACGCAGATCTCGCCACCATCATACAGACATCTGCATGCATGCCAGGTGGTCCGGGAGACACCGCAAAAACGCATCACAACGGTTAATTTAATTGTTTGATTAGCAGCACAATATATTTATCCCAGATGCCTTTAAACATGCCGAAATTAAGCAATAACCAGCACAATTAGGGGCCCGGAATTAAATATCCCGCTGAGATGCAGTGGCAGTGGTAAAGGATTGTGTTGCATCATTACAGGGTCCACTTGGCTGTCAGCTGTATTCACGTGTAGAAATAAGATGTCTCATGCATGGAGCCGCAGAGTTAGCAACGCAACAATTATGGGGTAAAGTACAAGAGGAAGACAGTGCCGCTTCTCTGAACTAGCCATAACAAGACAGAGTTCTTTAGCATAAAAATCAAATGCCGTATATTCCCCTTTGTAACGCGAAATTGGACAAATCTGATCTCTAATAACAGATACTGTAACTATTTGCACTGGTAATGGGGAGCAAACCAGTCACAGGGAGAACCAAGCCAACAAGAACATAACACATTTGGTTTTTCCCTCCATTCGCGAGTGAAATCCCTCCGATGTTTCAAACAAAAGTCAGAGCAGGAGGCTGGAGGCTGGAGCTGGCAGCCTACAGAGTGCAGACTGAATTCACTGCAATAACAGAACCTGGGGAGGGTCCTGCTTTCCATCTGATATCATTCCCACTGCGATGGAAGCCTGGTAGGAAGAGACAGCATTAGTCCTCTCTGAAAATGAGTCCTTTCATGTTAAAACAAGACTCCCTGAGCCCAGCGAACCAAGCCTGTGGTACTGTAGCACTGCAACCATTTTCATTATGGTCTGCCATTTTAGAATATCATACTCTCTGCAGAGCCTCAAGGACTGCAGAAGAATCACTGGCCTATATGCCAAGCACCATATTTAAAGGTTACCTGATTAATATACCCTTTTACCACACAGACAAATTTTCCTCAAGAGGACTGACTTATTTACTAACTTTATTGTTATACTGTTCTGCAACGTAAGTAAAACTTTACAGTACAGTGACCTGCTTTATATGTAAATTAAGAATTAAAAAAAATATATAATGAATAATTGGCATCTCTGGTGTAAGAGTACAGTAGCAGACAGTGCAGTGATTAAGGAAATAAATAATCCAAAGG